TTGTATAATTTTTTGGGATATTAATTCTTGAATTTGCTTTTTAAATTGTACTCTATGCTTAAGGCTATATCTCATAGGTTTTACTCTAATAATAGATTTTGGATCTATTAATTCAATAGTGCCATAAGTTTTATCAACTTCCCAAAGTTTTGTAGGATCTTCTCCATAATTGCTTTTTGGCTCTTTAGAAATGAATTCAAGAGTTAGATCTTCTTGTAGTTCGTTATTGTAAAAGCTTAACACTAGTTTTCTTATTTCTTTTGGGTGAATTTTTCTATTATCCTCACCATGTTGGCTGCAGAAATTTAATAGTTCTATTGTTCTAGTGTAAGGAATGTAAATTCTAGGGGAGTAAAGCCAAAGTCCACAAGGAATGTAAAATTTTACATATGACGCAATTTGAATACACTACTTGAATTGACTTAAGAAATTGTTACCTGGTAGGATATCATTCATGTGTTCATTACTCTTATAAACTTGGGAAATTAAGACCTCTGTTCCACCTATTATGGCTGTAACTTTTTCTATTATGGTTGGTATTGGAAAATACTTTCGTCTATAGCTACACCTGCCATTGTTTGAAAGGTTTTCTTCCAATAATTTTTTGGGTAAACATTGGTTTTAGCCAAGCATATCCTCAATCTTGTATCTATAAAAGCATGAAAGAACTCTGTTTTATATTCTTCATACTTAATACCTATAGATATATAAACACTATAGATACTAGTTTCAATAATATCTTGGAATGCTACTTCTTCCCCACTAAGGGTGATTTTTAGACAATGTTCTTGAACATTATAAGGTGTACTAATGTTAAGAACGTATTTCATAGCATCAATTTTATACTTGCAGTCGTCTTTGTTTCAACGTGAGTTGTTATAGTGATTTCATGTTGTATTTTATTCTTATCCTCTATTTTGAGAGATACTTTAGCATATCCATGTATTATAGTCATTGTACCATTAAAGTTACAATATGTATATGGCATAGTGAGTTCAAATTTTTGTAAATGTGGAATCATATCATTATGGATATATGTTACTCCAACACCTATATTTATTAGGATTGAAATGTTATGCCATTTCTTTTTGTCATAATAATCCCCTTTTATTTTGAAATGTCTATATAATATTTTTATGGTATCTAAGACCATATCATGTTTTATGCTAGCTGATCTAGTTAAGACATCTTTCTTAGGATAGCTCATGGATCCTAGATCTAGACTATTTCTATGACTTGGTCTAGGTTCTATTTTGATTGTTAGTCGTCCTCCTAACTCATATATCATTAATCTAGGTCTATCTCTTTCTCCTGTTAGGAGTGGGTTTTTACTAATATCCATTTCCCATTCTTTGGGTAATTCTATTTCAATGATCATTTTAGGTTTTTGACTTTGTCTTATTTTTGAGAACATAGGGTCTTTGTTTAAATAGATTAGATTGATGATCATTGGTCAATGCATAACTTATCATATAGTATATATTATATGACAATGATCCATCTCTCGTAAAGTTTTCTCTAGCAAACTCGTGTGCTAGGCTTAATCTTTTATTTATATTTCTATCATTAATATTTACATCATATTTAGGATATATTGTAAACATAAGTTTTTGGTACCTAAAGTTGCCTTATACTAATCCAAGATTGCATCTCTTCTATGATTAATTCTATTGTCTTCTAAAGCCAAATTTATTGAAGTGTCTATTCCTTTTCTAAAATGAGCTTTAATTAGAAAGTGAATTCCTCTAATATGGATAAATCTTATCTTTGATATATGTGATTCTTTAATTTTAGATAATTTATTTTCTATTTCTACCTTGATAAGTAGAGGTATATTTATTATTCCTATGGAATTTCTTATGGAAATACTATATTCTTTTGTAGATATCCCATAATATACTATGTCTTTTCTTTTAAAAGGATTACTAATAAAGAAATTAGAGTTATATCCTTTTTCTAAGGCTAGGTACATTTCCTTTTGTCTAATTCTTTTGTATTTATTTTTGTTGAATACAGTCACTTAGTTGTATTCTCCATATCCTTCATACTCTTCAAGTAAGCACCTCCTTCTTCAATATTTGGATTCATCCCTACTAGTGGTTTATAAGCTTTCTATCATATAAACATTCTTTGTTGTCTATAGAATTGCTTTCTATTTTGCTTAGTTTTTCTTCATACATTCTTAGATTTTTAATACTTTCCTTCTTGTATCTTTTAGGACATTTGTTTGCATAGTATCCTTTTTCTTTGCATAGCCAACTTGTGCATTTCTTTGGATTTTTCTTGAATTTTTTTTTTTTTTGGAGTTTTTGATTTCTTAAAGTATCTCATTTTCTTTCTAGAAATTTTATTCTTGTTAAATTTTTGTTTATTTCTTCTTTTAATTTAAAACTTTTTATTCCTTCTCTTGAAGTTTGAGTAACCACATCATAACTTGATTGGATCATTATTCTTATGGCAACATAAGCACCCTTTCATACTCTTTCTTAAGTTATTATAACTATAGGTCTCTAAACACCATTCATTAATTTTAGTTGTAATAAACCAAATCCTTAGTCCTAACATATCTATTTTATCTTCTACATAGATTCTATATGCTTCTAATAATTTCGTTCCCCATAGATTAGGGATCTTTCTAAAGAATAATTCTATTAGGTTCTTAGCCATTCCATGATTTGAAGCCTTGTAACAATATTTCTAAAATAAACTAATGTATTAATCTAGTTCACAAAGATTACATAATTCTAAATTCTATAAATTCCATCTTGCAATTCTTCCAAATTTAACCTCTTCTTTTTCTTGATTTTCTTCCCAAATTTCTCCCAGGAATTCTTTTCTTATGGTTGCTTAATGTTTGGTTAATAAATCATGGATTGCTTCATTTTCATTTATTTAATCTATAACAAGACTTCCACTTATAATGGTGTTCATGTCTTCATCAAATAATCTAGAAAACCAATCGTAGACTATTCCTTTAAAGGTAATTTGAATAAATCTATTGGCTTGTAAAGGGGTCCAACATTTATTTGCTATGGCTATCCATGTTGATTGAACCCAATCATTGATGGCTCTTCCTATGTCCATGACACAATCTAGCTCTAGCTAAATACCATTGGTGTTAATCAAATGTTCTTTGACTCGAACTGGTATTTCAATCTAGTTTGATTTTCAAATCTTTGATATCTTGTCATTCAATGCTTCATTCCTTTGATTTCTATTCTTTCTAAATTCTTGAGTTATAATAGTCCCTATTCTAGATTGTATTGGAAATTCTATTTGGAGTTATATTAGGTCTCCTATCATTTTTTTCTTCTTCACTCTCTTATGCTTTTGTTTCAATGGTGCTTTTTCCTTCTCTCTTAATATTCATTTTCATATTTCCTAATTGTTCAAAAGCTCTAGTAATTTGTTTGCACAGAGTATCTAACTCTTTTGCATTTTCTTCTTCTAAAAGTCTTTGTTCTAATTCTTTCAGTTTTTTCCTCTTGTGTTTTCAACGTGTAGAGGGTTATTCCTTTAGATTTAGGTTTTTCTATAAAAATTTTTGGGATGATTTTAAGTCCTTCACTTCTATCTATAACATTTCTTTTGTTACAAATTGCTATAATGGCATTTTGTAAATCCTTGAGCTATGTTTGGATTTTGTACAAGTTCTTGTCTACATCACTTTCAAGTTATGGAACTATATTACTATTCATTTTTAAAACTTAAAAGGGCAAAGTTTTTAGAAATTTATTTTAACTTTTCTAGGAGTTCTTCTATTTTAGTTTTTATTTCTTAGACTCGATATATTAAAGTTTTTGACTCTCTTATAGTTTGTATATCTCTTTTTAGATCACTAAGGTCTTTGAAATTTTTAATTTTTCTTGCTTTTTCTTTTATAGATTCAAATTTTGTAGAAAAGGTCTCTCCTATCTTTTTTATTTTTCTCAGAGTGCTTTTATTGATGGTTTTTATTTCTAGAGTCCTATCTTTATTGTTTATATCTTTTGCACTAATCTTATTATTACCCAAAGTATTTAGTAGATACAAGTTAATCCAATCTTGTTTATTATTATTCATGTTGAGAGAAATATATTAATAGTATTTCTAAGTGTATTTATTTTCTCTCTTTTCATCCTTATTTGGTAGTTATGAGTCCTAACCTTTGTTGTATCTTAGAGACTTGCTCTTGAAGCTTCTTGTTCTAATTGCTAAGTTTCTCTCTTCAAATTGAGTTCATTGCTTAAGTTTATTATAAATCCTAATTAACCTTTATTATATATTTATAAAATATTTCTTAATTCATCATATTTTATTAAGATTATATTATCACTTTTTCAAAACTTAAAGGTTTAGTTTGTTTTATTTATAACTTAATTTTCTACCAAAACTAATAGAATTTTTTGTGCGATAAACTATTTTAAAATGTTTTTTTAAAGTTTATAGATCATTTTAAAAGAAAATTAACTTTTTACATTAAAAGAAAATTAAATTGATAATTAATAAACTAATTATTGAATTAAGTCTTTTTACAACTAACCAACAATTTATCTATCTCATATTATTTTCAAATAAATTTTTACTTTAAAAAATCTATTATTTTAAAATAGAAAGGTATAGTTAGCTATAATCATGTCCTCAATACTCATAATTAAAAAAATGAGCAACTCTACACATACAATCATATGATGCTTATAATATAAAATGACATAATATTAAACAAGTGTATATTAATTCTTATTTTTATTAATTTATGAGAATTTCTATATAAAGATAATTAATAAAATAACACATCATATTTTTATCATTATGTCATTGTGTACCTTTTAAGAAAATACATCACATTCTCTGAGCTTAAAAAATATAAAATAAATGGAATGTTGCTGTCAAAACAAAAATGATTTATTAGATATGGCCATGCAGGTGTGTCAACACTTAAATCTCAAATTTCGACCATTAATATCTCTGCTACTCGATTTAAATAGCATCACAAACCGACACCCTCTTCTATTCTAAAAGACCCTTCTACTTCTGGCTTCTGGCTACCAACACAGCAGAAACTTAAAAATACGCTAAAAATGCCAAACAAGTTCAATACTCTGCTCTTCTCATTTCCCTTGTTACTTGTGTTCAGTTGTGCCGCAGCAAAAGTTCCTGCAGTAATAGTGTTCGGAGACTCTTCTGTGGATGCCGGAAACAACAACGGGATCTCGACCGTTCTCAAGAGCAATTTCCAGCCCTATGGCCGTGATTTCTACGGCGGGCGCCCCACCGGGCGATTCTGCAACGGCCGGATTCCTCCGGATTTCATTTCAGAGGCCTTTGGACTCAAGCCAGCCATTCCGGCCTACTTGGATCCAATGTATAACATGTCGGATTTTGCCACCGGCGTTTGCTTTGCCTCCGCCGGTACCGGCTATGACAATGCAACCTCCAATGTGCTTGTAAGCCCTCCTTTTTTATTTCTTTTCATTAAAAAGCTAAATCCATATAGAAGGTTAGATTTTGAATTTTTGACTTTAATCTCACATTCATTAATTATGTTTTATATAACTTTGTAGTTAAATTGCATCTTTTTTAATTGTTGTCATTTAGTTAAACATGTGGTAATTAGAAAAATTTTATAAGTTTTATAATAAAAGAAATTAAACCTACATATTTATCTTAAAATTTAAATTTTAGACTTTTAACTTGAAATTTTATAATGTTAGTGATGAAGATTTCTTTTGAGATAAGTTATCTAGGTGTTTATTATAATAATTTATATCAATTTTCTGTTTTTTTTTTTTTTTTGGCAGAATGTGATACCCTTTTGGAAAGAATTAGAGTACTACAAGGACTATCAAAGAAAATTGCGAGATAATGTTGGTAAGAGGATGGGGAACGAAATTATTAGGGAGGCCTTGTATCTAATGAGCTTAGGCACAAATGATTTCCTCGAAAATTACTACATATTCCCTACCCGAAGAATTCGGTTCACGGTGAGCCAGTACCAGGATTTTCTTATCGTACATGCCGAAAATTTCATACGGGAACTTCATGGCCTCGGAGCGAGGAAATTGTCCCTCACCGGCCTTCCTCCGATGGGCTGTCTACCCCTTGAGAGAACCACAAATGTCATGGGTGGCAATGAATGCATAGAGGATTACAATAATGTGGCAGTGGAGTTCAATAGGAAGTTGAATGGGATGGTGGCTAAACTGAATAGGGAACTTCCTGGAATGCATATGGTGTCTGCAAATGCATATGACATTTTCTATCAAATTATCACAAAACCATCGACATACGGTAAGTATTCGAAACATTAATTTATTTTTTGAAAAAAAAAATCAAAACATCCTGATATTTAAAATAATATCGAATTATTTGTAAAATTATTTAAATATATTTAATAAAATTTTTTTGTGAGTTAATTTATTAAAGATATATAATTTTTTTATTATTATTCTTAATATTTTAATTATTAAAACTTCTTGATTTTCTTTAATTCTATTTTCTTTTCACATATATGTATCAATTTACATTTCTAAATTGCACTTTTAATGCAAATTAGCAACAAATGCTCTCATATAGTTTAGCATATAAGCCATTATTGCCAACAAGTGCATAATTAGGATTTTAAAATTTCATTAATTTTCTGCATTTATGCCTTCAGAAGAAATGATGAGAGTGATGTGCAAGAGTCTTTTTTTTTTCCTGTGTCGGTCTGCAAAGGTTTTTTTTTTTTTTTTTGGGGGGGAGTAAAAGTTAATATGCAAAGTTAGGTGAGCATTTATACTTTCTTGTTCTAGCTAGTACATGAAGAAAAATTTTAACCTTTTGTCATTTGGAGTAGTAGAAAGTGACGTGAATCGTACTAGAAATATAGGACATCATTCTATTTCCGCCGATGTTTCAAGATCCCACTTGTTTTGGCCGTTAGATCTGGTTCAATCGGTTGGATTAGTGAAATTTATCAAACCAATTGGTTCGCTTAACAAATACTATTAAATTAATTCATTAATTATAAAATTACTTTTACCTTAATTATTTATTGAAAATAATATATCAATTTTGACTGAAATTTTTTTTTTAATTTTAAATAATGTTATTTTATTTAATTCAATTCAATTCAAAATTTATAATTTTACTTTGTTAAATATTAACACCTGTATTTAAAAACTGATTACATTCTAAATATAAAATGTCATCATTTTATTTTATTAAATATTAAATATTATATACCGATATCTAAATGTAAATTAATACATTTAATAAGGTAAATTTTTAACTTTTAAATTAAGTTTTTTTTATATTAATTGTACAATGGAAGCCAACCATCTCTCATCCCTTATCTCATGCTACCCGCACGCCATGTGACTATAACTCATGATCTCTTACTTCCAACAGAAGGAGATAATCACTAAGTTATTTATGTCATTGGCTTTAAATTAAGTTTTAATTAAATAAAATGATATTATTTTCAATTTTCTCAAAGTAAAGATAATATGCGTTATTCTCTCATTTTTTTAATTAATTAAATTTATTTTTACATTCATTTATCAAAGTAACTATTAATTTTAAAGACTTTATATTAAAAATTCATTACATTTTCAAATTTTATTAAATACAAATTAATATTTCATTAAATTTGTTAAAATACCTAATATATTTTCATTTATTAGTTATCTAAAACATTAATATCATATTAATTATATATTTTTTTCTTTTTATTGATTTATTTTCAAATTTTCTTGAGAATAATTTTAATTTCAAATTAATGATTGCTATTTAGTGTAAACAATTGTAATTGACCATTTCTCCTACCCTTGGGTGGAGATTTGCCTGCTATTTACGAACAAAATGGTTAGTGAGTTCTCATAGACTAATTGGACTAAAGATATAAATCAATTTTTTAAAAGATATTACTAATCATTTTCAAATTCTAAATAGCTAGAAATTGAAGTTCCAAATCTATAGCTTTTGAATCTGGTAATTTTTATTTTTTTTTAAATTTTCTTAATAATTATTTTTTATAAATTTATTATTCAACATTTCTGCCAAAAAAAAAAAAAAAGCTCAAAAAGAACTTTTAGAGAAAAATGCATGCAATAATGAGGCGAGAGAGAGGAGATTGCTTGTAGTGGTAGCACTGAGTACTGACAGCTATGGCTGATGAATCATAATAGTCGCAGCCACAGCCCAGCTGAAATGCATAATATTAGAGCAGTAGAGTCAGAAATTGGCCACAAATATTAAATAACAAAACCTACCGGTTTTGGTTTGCGTAAATGCATGACTTTTATAACTTGGGGTGCATTTAAAAGCATGCACTTGTTTCCGTATGGGACCGCAATTGGAATTTCTTCATCTACATGAATTAAGGATTTGGTGTTTTTGGAGTAGTTAAGGGTTTAAAATTAAGATGAAAATTTTATTTTGAGTTTGAACTTTAAAATGAATAAAAAAAATGATATTTTATATTATATAGTGCATCATTCGATATAAAAAAAAAAAAAAAAAAATAGTGGTTATATGTATGTATCTCAGTTCTTGACTAGTTGATACTAATTGACAGGATTTGAAGTATCAGGGGTGGCCTGCTGTTCCACGGGAACGTTCGAGATGAGTTACCTTTGCAGTAAGAGTAACCCATTTACATGCCCAGATGCGAATAAATACGTATTCTGGGATGCCTTCCATCCTACAGAAAAAACAAACAAGATCATCTCCGATCATCTAATCCCTTTTCTTCTAGCTACCTTCTCCTGATTAATTAATTAATTACTGTGATCTAAATACGCGCGTGTACTCATAAATATCACTGTATTAAAACAATTTCAGCTTTTAGTTTTGAGTTCTGGTATTTTCGGGATCAACTGCACTCAAGTAATGCTTTGTATGGTGGTTTGGAGTTAGTAATTTCATTAAAACGGTGCATAATAGTGTTTTGTAATTTTTTTTTAACCAGTCCTAAGTATTTGGTATTTAGTAAAATTTTTCATTTAATGGTATGATAATATCAGTTAGCAAGGGATGATAACAAATTACAAACAATTTGTTTGTTCTAATTAAAAGAGTTTGGTTTCTCTTAAACAAAATCTTAAATTTATGTTTTATAAATAAAAAAATAAGTACTGAGAGAATTTCCTTTTATAATGTTTGATACGGTTGACTCCAAATTAAATGGGTCTAATGTAATTTTTGAATACCAGATAGTTAATACAAAAAAAAAAAAGATAATAACAAATTTTTGCTAATTAAAAAAAAATGTTTGGTTACATCACATTATTTTTTACTTTTCTTATATTTTTAATAAAAAAAATATGGTGCAATTCAAATTATACCAAATTGTACTTACACTACACTGATTACTCAATTACGATGGACTTTTTAATATTAGGGCTCAAATGAACACGCGCATGCAGTTTGATCGAACAAAACGTGACCATAAAAGATTAAAAATAGAGGACCAACACACTAATCTTATCTTTTTTATCTCAAAATATTACAAAAATCCTCAATAAATCTCAAATAAATATTTAATTAGTCTTTTAAAATCTTCAAAAAAATATTTAATTTTTTAATAAATCTTAAATAAATATTAAATTTATAACTAATGTGTTTTTTAAAATCTTCAATAAATATTGAATAAGTGCCCAAAGAGTCTTTAAAATCGAAACTCAATTATATTTTGAAATAATAATTTTTCCTTTTAATACAATTTTACTTCAATATGAATTTAGTCACTTTACTACTTCAATTATATTTCAATATGAACAATTACATTAATAATAACAATCCTTTCTGACGATTTTCAATATTATATTTTTATTAATAAAAGACAAACTAAATACAGCCCAATAAAAATTCTAATCACTTTATGGTTTTACTATATTATAAAAATTGTTAAAATTTTTAATAAATATCAAATAAATACCCAATTTATCTTTTGTAATCCCTCTAGAATAACAATGAATACTCAATTAGCCTTTGAAAACCTTCAATAAATAATTATAAATGTAATTATAGTTTTAATTATCAAGAATTTAATTTGATTTCACAAATTATTTTGGTAAAAATAATAATGAAGCCACTAACTTCCCTTTCTATACTTCAATTTTAAATTGATTCAATAACTTTAAATATATGATAGTTTAAATTCAAATTCAATCATGTCTTACTATATTAAAAATTTGTTAAAATATTCAATAAATCTCAAATAAATACCAAATGAACCTTTTAAAATCTCAAATAAATACCTAATTGACGTCTAAAAAAAATATTCAGGAAGTTTAAGCCCAATTAAATTATATTAATACACTTTCAAATTTCTTAGTGAGAAAAATACATAGAATTCTTTATTAAATTAATTCTCCATATAATATTACTTAATAGTATTCTAAATGTATCAAATTTCTTACTAATTATTCTCAAACTCAACGTCAAATACCATATAATAATTTAACATCTACATCTACAAATTATTAATTTGCAAACAATTTACCCAAATATGTAATCTTACTTCTACTTCAATTATATAATTGGAATAACATAAATATACATTATATTATATTCAAAGTTTTCACTTTGCAAATTAATTCTTAATTACTCAATTATTCTAGTACTAAAAGAATAATAATTTATATGTAAATAATTCTATATAAATGTATTTTTTAATAATGATTACTAAAACATGAAGAATTATGAATAGTTCCAAATTGTACTATATAGAATTGATGTGTATTAACTCAATAATGACTATATCAACTTGGAAATCCAATTTTGAGAGGTATGAAATGGGTTCTAAATGAACTACTTAAGTGTAAGCGAGAACAAAGAGTAGTTATAAGGAAACTAAAAATAAAGAAAAGGCGTTTGCGAGGAAACCTAAAGCTGTTTTGATATTCCTTTTTATCAAAAATCTGAACTACCAAAAAATTATAAAAATGGTAATGTACAAGGCCTTACTTCAATATGCTTATTAAGATAAAAGTTCAAACAATTCTAATATGTGCACAACAAGAGAGAGAGGATAAAAATGATATAATAATAAATAGATATTCAAGGAGTGAATAAGAAAGAATAATATTGAGAAAATAAGAATAAAGAAAGAAAGAATAATAATAATTAAATTATTAAATATAGAAGGAAAATGTGGGTGCATGTAGTGTAGATAGATAAATATAATGATCAAATGTGAGAGAATAAATTAAGAGATGGAATCCTAAGAAAAATTAATGAAAAGTGAAGTGAAAAAGTATCAAGAGGAAAAAAAAGATGTTAAAAAGGATATATTTTGATAGATAAAGATTTGAAGAAATGACTAAAAAATTGAATAATTAATATAGATGATAGAATAGTAAAAGAAAGAATGATAATGAATAAATTACAGATATAAAGAGGGAAAATGCGAAAAATGTAGGGTCTTTAGCTTATATTGGTAAAAATTTATAACTTTTTGTATATGCATATAAATTTATCTCATATATTATTGAATGATTTGTAATTTAAGGATATTAAATATTATTGTAATACTGAGAAAATATAAAATATTTAATGATAGATAGAAAAAAAATTGGGTATAAAAAGATATTTACTGATAGATGATAGATGGAAAAGGTGACTAAAGAAGAATAGTAGAGAGGAGAGGATAAAGAAAGAAAGAAAGAATAATAATAAATAAACTATTAATATAGAAAGGGAAAATGAGTGCGAATATAGTTTAAAGTGATAAATATAGTAAAAGATATGAGAGGGTAAGTTAAAAGATACTGTCATATGAAATAGCATAAGTAAATAAAAATGTATGAAAAGAATAATGCTAATAAGTTATATCTTTTATATTTTGACTTAAAATCTTCTAATATAGGCTTCAAGAGAAAAGAGACAAAATGATGTAAAAAAAAGAAATATATAATAGTAATAGTTACAAATTCAAATGCTAATAATAATAAAAAAAAAAGTTATAGATTCAAAGATAAAGAAAATTAATGAAGATTTATTGAACTATTTTATCATGTTTATCTAAAAAAAGTTTAATTGATATGGAAGTTAAATATATGTCTATAATAAATTAATATGAGTTTAAAATAATTTTTATATTTATTAATTAAAAATTAATTTTAATTGTGAATTATTGGCTCAAATACTCCAAGAGAGGGTGAATTGGAGTCTTTAAAATTTTCTTCTTTTTGTCAATCTCCAAATGCAAAGTAAAGAAGAAAGGAAGAAGAGCTTGCACAATTAATTTTATAGAGGTTTAGGTCAACCACTTGACACTTAATCCTTTACCTTAGCTTTACTTACCAAAGATTTCCTCCTCACTTTCTACTAATGACCAAGAGTAGCTTAAAGGAGCTACCAATTGTTTTACAATATGTCTTTCACTCAATCACTCTCCATGACAAATATTCTCAATAAACCTCACTTGATTTCTCTCTTGAAGACTTCACTTACTCTCAAGTATCACTTCTTAGAGTTTATTCACTCCCAAGATCACAAAAAAGGGCAAACAGAAAAATTACAAAGCATATGATCTCTACAATATCTAATTTGCAAGTGAAAGCTTAAAGCTTTTGAAAGGATTTTCAAATCTAAGCTTAACTCATGTTTTTGATCTTTTAATATGTGTTTAGAAGCTCTTTAGGGTGTTTACCAACCATATTTATGCTCCCATGGTCAAAAATAGTTGTTTCTAGCCACTAGAGTCCATTAAATTCACAATAAATTAGTTTAAGTTCAAGAAAACATGTTGCAGAATTTACTATTAAGCTTACTTTCATTTCAAAGTTGACTACTAAGCTGGCTTTCAATGTTAGAGTCAACTCTATTGCTATCTTTGCACTTTCTGTTTTTCTTTTGTGTTGGTGGTATAACCCAAAGCCAATTTAGGAATTTGAGTATGAAAAATTAAAAAAATCTTCAAAACTTTTGACCATTGGAATCATTAAATGCTTCAAATAATTCCCATGCACCAAAACTACACTTTTGAATTTCTAATAGTTACACCTACTCCAAAGCCAAAGCCAATTCTCCTGTGCACTTTTTCAGTATTTCAAACTATACTTTTCCATCCAGCTTTTAGAGCCCGTATCATTTTCATCCAAACTTCATTTTGGCATTCTTATACTTAAAGTCTAAGATTTCTACTTTCATACAAACTGACTCTTGAACCAAAACTCTCACTTTAATTTGATTTATTCTTAAATGAATAGACCAAACTCAATTTTGCATTAAATGGAGATTTTTCAATTTTTTAATTTTCTGCAAGCTAACACAAAACTCATTAGACTTTTTTGCAATAGTTTTCATTTCATCAAAATTATCATAGGAACTCAACAAAATCAATATTACCTTAAGAGAAAAGTGCATATTAGTTCTGACCCCAAAATACATCATGTTATTTAATTAAAATTCAATTGAAAATTAAAAAAATCAATCCTATTAAATAAGATGAATTTCTAAATTTTAAATTGGATTTGGGTTTTTAAATGTAGGTTGAGATTCTAACTTTTTTGAGAGTTGAGACTTATATGCATTAACCTCTTATCTTAATATATTATAAAAATGATTAAAATCTTTCATAAATTTCAAATAAATACCTATTGGGATTTTTAAATTCCGCAATAAATCTTCAAGTTAATAAATTACTAAAAAGATGTAGTAAAAATGAATTGCATTTAGAATCTAGTTATATTATAAAAAATTCTTCTATAAATCCTAAATAAATACTTAATAATTTTTTTAAAATCTTCAATAAATATCTAATAAGTAGCCAATAGATTATTTAAGATCTTTAGTCTTCAATAAGTTTTAAATAAATATTCAATGGGTCTTTTAAAGTCTCCAAATTTAATTGTATTTTCAATAATTATATTTCCACATGCATCTTCAATATTATATTATCAATAATAACATTTCCTTTTTACACAATTCCACTTTAGGCCCCGTTTGGTATAGCGGTTTTGGGGTAGCGGTTAGCGGTTAGCGGTTTTACCTAAACCGTTA